TATCCTTCCCTTCAAGGCTCAGGGGTCCAGAATTATCTTCTGTGTCTGTGTTAATTGGTTTCCCTTTTCTTTGTTGAAGATGGTCTGTGCAGTCTTTCTGCCTAATCCGCCATCTTGCCGGATCTCTGCATTTATGTAGATCTCTTATGGTTTCTTGAAGTTTTCTTTGTATAGGTCTTTTGTGATTTATTCCCAAGTATTTTATTTTTTTTAGTAGCAACTGCAAACAGTAGTAGCTCTGGTAGCGTAGTGCCTAAGGCATTTGACTACTATCCAGGAGGCTGGCGGTTCAAACCCACCAGGTACTCCTCAGAAGGTTGGGCAATGTACTTCTGTAGTGATACCGCCTCGGAAACCCAAGGAGGGGTTGCTATGAGTCAGGTTCAACTTGACGGCAATGAGTTTGGTTTGGTATTTTTAATGGTATTGATTTCCTTATTTCTTTTTCAGTAATCTCTTTGCTGGTGTATAGGAATCCAATTGATGTTTGTATGTTGATCTTGTATCCTGCCACTGTGCTAAATCTCTCAATTAGTTCCAGTAATTATTTTGCTGAGTCTCTTGGGTTTTCTATGTATAGGATCATATCAGCAAATAGGGATAATTGTACTTCTTCCTTATCAGTTTGGATGCCTTTGATTTTCCCTTCTTGCCTTATTGCCATGGCTAGGACTTCCAATACGCTGTTGAATAGAAGTGGTGGTAGAGAGCATCCTTGTCTGGTTCCTGTTCACAGGGTAATGGTTTCAGTCTTTCTCCATTGAGAATTAATTTGTTTTTGGGTTTGCATATATGCCCTTTGTTATGTTGAGGAATGTCCCTTCTATTCCCATTTTGCTGAGCATTTTGATAAGGATGGGGTGTTGGATTTTATCAAATGTCTTTTCTGCATTGATTGAAATGATCATGTGGTTCTTTTCCTTTATTTTATTTATGTGATGGATGATGTTGATTGTTTTTCTAATGTTGAACCATCCTTGTATACTTGATATGAACCCCACTTGGTCATAATGTGTTTATTTATTTATTTATTTGATAAGTTGTTGGAATCTGTTGACTAGGATTTTGTACAAGATTTTTGCATCTATATTCGTGAGCGATAGTGGTTTGTAGTTTTCGTTTTTAGTCATCTCTTTGCTTGGTTTTGGTATCAAGGTTATGCTTGCTTCATAGAATGAATTTGGGAGGATTCCATCCTTTTCTGTGTTCTGGAATAGTTTGAGTAGGATTGGTGTCAGTTCTCTGAACATTTGGTAGACTTTCCAGTGAAAATGTCTGGGCCCGCTCTGTTTTCTCTGCACTAGGAGCAGCTCTCCTACCACAGCCCCTCATCCCCTGAAAATGTTTGGCTGAGCCAAATTCATCTCCACCCCTTCCCTGGTCAGGAGCACTTTTCAGCTGCTGAGCCAACCATTGTCTGCTATGGCACTGAAACAACCTGAAACACTGACAGGTGAGAGCTTCAGAAGCTCAACAGCCCCACATTCCCTGGCCTTACTTATTCCTAGTCGCATCTTCGAAACAAGTGCCATTTCAGAGGACATCGACACAGCAGCCACGTTCATTGGGGCTGGGGCTGCCACAGTTGGAGTGGCTGGCTCTGGAGCTGAGATTGGGAGCCTCATCATTGGTTACACTAGCATCCGTTCTCTGAAGCAGCAGCTCTTCTCCTACGCCATTCTGGGCTTTGCCCTCTCGGAGGCCATGGGGTTCTTTTGCCTGATGGTGGCCTTTCTCATCCTCTTTGCCATGTGAAGGAGCCGTCTCTGCCATCCCACAATTCTTTTTCCCATGTATTGTCTACCCTATATATTCCTTTCCTTTTACCTCCCCAGGCAACCTGGGGAAAGTGATTGGCTCAGGGTTTGACAGAGGGAAGACAAATAAATACTGTATTAATAATAATAAAAAAAAATGTCTGGGCCAGAACTTTTTTTTGTTGGTAATTTTTTTATGACCTGTTCAGTTTCTTTTGTTACGGGTTTGCTCAATTTTTGCACCTCAGTTTGTGTTAGTTTAGATAAGTATTGTGTTTGCAGAAATCTGCCCCATTTCTAGATTTCTAACTGTGTTTGAGTGCAATTCTTCATGGTATCCTGATACTATCTTTTTTATTTCAGTGGGTTGTGTTCTGATGTTGTCCAATATATTTATTTGTGTTAGTCATATTCTCTCCCTCATTTTCTTTGTTAAATTTGCCAGTGGTTTGTCAGTTTTAATTATTCTTTTCAAAAAACCAACTTATAATCTTGATGATTTTTTTTTTTCTGTTGTCTTTCTACTTTCTGTTTCATTTATTTCTGTTCAATTCTTTATTATTTCCTTTCTTCTGGTGATTGTAGGCTTTTCTGGCTGTTCTTTTTCTGCTTGTTGGAGATGTTGGGTTAAGATGTTGATTTTGGCTTGCGCTCTTTTTTTTTTTTTTTTTTTTTTTAAATGTGTGCATTTATTGCTATAAGCTGGCCTTTGGTCACTGCTTTTTTTGTGTCCCAAAGATTTTGATATGTTGTGTTTTCATTCTCATTTGATTCAAGGAATTTTTAAATTTCATTTTTTATTCCTTCTCTTATCCAGTTGTAGCTAAGGAGGGTGTTGTTCAGTTTCTATGTGTTTGCTTTTTCCAGTGATCTTCCTATTGTTGATTTCTAATTTCATAGCATTGTGATCTAAGAAGACACTTTGCAGTATTTCAATGTTTTTAAATTTATTAAGGCTTGCTTTATTTCCTAACTTATGGTCTGTCATGGAGAATGTTCCATGTGCACTGGAAAAGAATGTATATTGTGCTGTTGTTGTGTGAAGTGCTCTGTAGATGTCTATAAAGTCAAGTTGGTGAATTATATTGTTTAGTTCTTCTGTATCTTTGTTGAGTTTCTTTCTGGTTCTACCTTTGATTGAAAGTGGTGTATTATAATCTCCTACTTTGACTGTGACATCATCTATTTGTCTTTGCAATTCTGTTAAAGTTGTATTTATGCATCTCGGGGCTCTTCCCTTGGGTCCATAGATACTTATTATGGTTGTATCTTCTTGTTCGATTGATCCTTTAATCATTATATAATGGCCGTCTTTGTGTCTTGTGATGGTTTTTGTCTTAAAGTCAATTTTATCAGAAATTAGTATTTGCACTGCTCCTATATTTTGGTTGCCATTTGATACATCTTTTTCCAAACCTTGATATTTAGTGTATTTTTGTCTTTTTCTCTAAGGTGTGTCTCTTGTAGACAGCATATTGATGGGTTATATTTTCTTATCCAGTCTGCAACTCTCTATCTCTTGAGTGGTGCATTTAATCCATTGACATTCAGTGTAATTATCAACAAGTATGAATTGGTTGCTGTCATTTTGTTATGTGTTTTTTCATGATGCTCCTGGTTTCTTTGTTCCATATAATCTTCTGTGCTGAGCTTATTTTGTTACTTCCTTTTGTTATTTCCTTCATTGCTGTTGTTTTAGGAGCTCTGGTGGCTGTTGATTTAGGATTTGCTAAATATTTGTGCTTGTCCTCTTTATTACTGTGATATGAAGGCTTATCATTTTTCTTTGAGGTTACGCTGTGATATAATTTGCTCCGTGAGTTTAGAACAGTCCCTTGTATCTTGCAGCTCTCTTGACTTCCTCACCATTTAGAAGTTCTGTAACTAACTGTTTTTTCCCTCTTTTTGTATTATAGTTGTCTTTATTTGCCAACTGATGTCTCTAGCTCCCTGTTTACAATATTGTAAGCTTGTTTTACTTTGGATAATTATCTAACTGGGTTGGTTTCTTGGTTATGTTATCATGTGTATTAATGGTTGGTTGTTGTTTGCTATTGTTGGTTCTCTGGCCAAAGGACTCCCTCTAGTATCTCTTGTAAGGTTGGGGTGGTTTGAAAAATTCCCTTAATTCCTGCTTATCTGGAAATGTAATTTCACCACCATATTTGAGGGGCAGTTTTGCTGGGCATATAATTCTTAGTTGGAAATGTTTCTCTTTCATAGTTTTATATATACCATCCCATTGTCTTCTTACCTGCATGGTTTCTGCACAGAAATGAGAACTTAGTCTTATTGGTTGCCCTTTGTAAGTAACTTTTTGTTTTTCCTATGCTGCTTTCAGGATTCTGTCTTGTCTTTTGTTTTGGTGAGTTTGATGATGATATGTCTTGGTGGTTTTCTTTTGGGGTCTATCCTGTTTGGGGTTGAATTTCTTGAATGGATGTATTCTTATTTTTCATCATGTCAGGAAGTTCTCTCCCAACAAATCTTGGATAATTTTCTGTGTGGTTTTATTTTTCTCTTCCTGTTTTGGAATTCTGATTTACATGTATGTTATTCCTTTTGATGGTATCATACATGAATCTTAAGCTTTCTTCATTTTGTTTTGATCTTTTTCTCTGATTGATCCCTTTCTAAAGAAGTATTCAGGTATTTGTCTTCAATCTCATTAATTCTGTCTTCCATTGATTTGATTCTATTCCTTTGCCTTTTCAATGTGTTACCTATTTCTGAAAATTTAGTATTATTTTTCTGGGTTTATGTCTGTGGATTTTGTATCATTTCTAATTTTTCATTTATTTTGTCCTTTTGTTCTTGTATTTTTTTCCAAAGGTAGGGATGGCTGCACCGCTCACTGTTCACCCAGAGGGTGTGTGGTTTGTCTGTTTTCCTTAATTTTGTCAGTGTTTTCCTTGATCTGTCTCTCAAACCATGGAATGTACCTCAATATAATTGTTTGGGATTCTTTATCACGGAGTTCCAATGCTGCTGCTTCTTCAGAGATGTGTTTTGGGTGTGTATTCTGGTCTCTTGTTTCTACTACTTTATCTTGCTTCTTTGCGTGGACTGTGATGGTCTGTTGTCTCCCAGACATTGTGACTTCATTATATTTAATCAGTGATTGTATGTTGGAGTTATTCACTGAAGATTTTCATTTTTTGTTGTTGTTGTTTTGTTTGGATGTATCTTAGTAAGCAGGGTGCTGGTGCTCTTCTGTTCTCTAGTTGGCAGCACATATGTACTTACCACCTGTCTCCTGGTGGGTATGATAGAGAATGAGAGTGGCTGTACAGATTTCTATTAATTGTTTGTGAAGAGCAGTTAAGGGTGAGTTAGGTTTTTATTGGTGGTCTTGTATCATTGGCCAGTTGGTGCAGAGGGAAATGGTGGCCCTCACTTAGTAAGTGGAGCTGCAGAAGGTGCGATTGTGGTTGGGTCATAAGGGCACAGTTGTTGTCTTCCACTCATTTAGACTAAAACAGCAATCAGAAAACCATCAGGAAAGTAAAAGCAACAGGACCAAAAACACATGCCACATAAATACAAAGGAACAATCACCAAAAGGAGGAAGGAAAAAAAAAGGAGGAAAGGCAATAAATGAGAGAAAATATTTATTTAAAGTATTTTAAAAAGCCAAAGGAAATACGAATAGAAAAAGGGAAAACAAACCCTCACAATATATGGGAAGTGAGGAATAAGAGAAAAGAGATAGAGTAGGAGAATAATAAAGAAAAAAATGGGAAAAATGCAAAAAAGAAAATCTTTCTCTTATTCTCTTATTGAGAGAACCACAAGAAAGAAAAAAAAAAACGAGAACCAGGAAAAGGGAAGGGAGAAAAAGCGGAAAATTATAACTTGGGAGAGGAAGAAGAAAGAATAATAATAGTAAGGACCAAAAAAAATAAAATAAAATAAGTAAATAAAATCTGAATGGGGCAGGGCAGGTCTTCCAGGCTCTGTCAGAGCACACAGACTGGGATGAAATTCCTGCCAGCTCAGAAGGTGGGTAGGAGTGAGGGATGGCCACACCGCTGTTCACCTAGAGGGTGTGGGGTGTAAGAGTAACAAGGGGAATATCACACCTTTCCAGTCCTCAGTGTCCGGTATGTCCTTGCTGTCCCTGGCAAGTGGAGCCCATTCTTAGTTCCTTGGAATCTAAGAGAATGATGTTGCTTTAAATATCCAAAATGGTCAAACCATTTGTAAACATTCAAAATGGCTGCATCCTTTGGACAGCCAAAAGTCCACAGCTGTTTGTCTCCTTCTTTGCCGTTTCCCCTTTTATTCACCAGCCTCCATTGCAGTCCTCCGTGCAGTCCCTGGCTAGCACAGCTGATTGTTAGGTTAATTCTTAGGTCCTAACACCACTTGGCAATATCCAAACTGTCTGTGTTGTCAGCATTGCTCACAGTCCACAGCTCCGTATGTCCCCTTTTTCATGCAGGTTCTTCTTCCAGTTGGAGTTTAGTCCATTTCTGTATCCTTCCTTTCAAAGCTCAGGGCTTCAGGATTATCTTCTGTATCTGTTAATTGATTCTTCTTCTCTTTGTAGAACAGGGTCTCTGTAGTTTGTCTGCCTATTCTCCCATCTTACTGGAACACTTAGATCTAAAAATTAAATTCTGATGTGCATCAAAAGATTTCTCCAAAAGGGTAAAAAGGGAATCTACAGATTGTGAAAAAATATTTGCCCACAACATATCCAACAAACGATTTATCTCAAATATTTAGAGAAACCTTCAGCACCTCAAAAAGACAGTCTAATTCAAAAATTGGCATAGGACATGAACTGACCTTGACTAAAGAAGATACACAGGCTTCCAATAAACACATGAGGAAGTGCTCATGATCATTACTCAAACTCACTGCCGTTGAGTTGACTCCGACTTACAGCGATCCCTCCTTGGGTTTCTGAGGCTGTATCACTATGGAAGTAGATTACCCAGCCTTCCTTCTGAGGAGTGGCTGGTGGGTTTGAACCACCAGCCTTTTGGTTAG